CCAGCAATGGGAAGATCAATCTCAATCTGCTCTCCCCACCTTTCTCTCTCCTCTCCCCCTAGCTCCCTTCCTCCTTCCCTCTTATTCTCCCTCTCTCCCTTTCTCTCTCTCTAATTCTGATGTTCAACTAAAATCAATAACTCTTATTTGTTATAGAGATTTATTTTTTTTTACTGGAAACATAAATTTACAGAGAGAAGGAGAAACAAAGAAAGTTCTTCCACTTGCTGGTTCACTCCTCTAATGGCCATAATGGCCGGAGCTGAGCCAATCTGAAACCAAGAACCAGGAGCTTCTTTCATGTACACCACACAGGTACAGGCTTTCAACCATTCTCTACTGCATTCCAAGGCCACAAGCAGGAAGCCGGGATAGGAAATGGAGCACACAGGACACACACTGGCACTCATATGGGATGCCAGCACTTACAGGGGGTAGGATTTAGCCACTGAGTTATCGTGCTGGACCCCAAAACAAATAACCCTATGAAAATAAAATGATTGATCTCCTAGTGTGGACAGGGGAGAATTCAAAATCTCAAGTTTGTAGAAGACACAATATACCATTTCTATTGAAAACTAGAAGGATTATAGCAAGTGATAGAGAGGTTAATCAGAGATGAGTTACTAGAACCTTGCTTGTCATGATGCAATACTCCAATTTTCCAGGAAAAACAAATAAATAAACAAAAGAAAACAAAAATCTGATGGATCCTATAGACTTCTACAAGATTAGAGCTAGAAATCAAATTTTCAGGCTCATTGTCTTTCACACTCTCCTTAGTAAGATTCCATTTGAACACAAATGGCTTAAGGTGGTGGAATTAAAACATTGGTAGGGTGGGGAGGGGGCTTAGACCTTAGACCAAGAAAGCAGGGATCGTGTTTCTAAGTGGGAAAATCCTGGAAGTGAAGGAAACAATACTGTTGCAGTGTGTTACCACAAGGCTTCACAGAAGCCCCACAAACATTTGGTCAAGTATTAGAAAATTTTCTGGAAGAGTTTCAACATTCCACAAAGATGGATGGTATTCTTACTCTCTGAGAGAGAGAGAGAGAGAGAGAGAGAGAGAGAGGAGAGAGGCTCTACTTTTCAAATATAAAGAAATACTTTTAAAAGTTATAAATTGAAGCTGGTCCCATGACTCAACAGGCTAATTCTCCAACTGCAAACATCAGCATCCCATATGCTAGTTCATGTTCCAGCTATTCCACTTTTGATCCAGCTACCTGCTTGTGGCCAGGGAAAGCAGCCGAAGATGGCCCAGGTCCTTGGGCCCCAGCACCCACATGTGGAAGCTGAATGAAGTTCCTGGCTCCAGGTTTCAGCCCAGCCCAGCTCCTGTATTTACTACCATTGTAGAGTAAACTAGCAGATGGAAAATGTTTCTGTCTTTTTTCTCTGTAAGTCTGCCTTTCAAATAGAAATAAATCTTTTAAAAGTCATAAACTAATCTTTTATGAATATAGTCATAAACTTCAATAAAATATTAGCATTAAAAAGATATATCATAATCAAGTAATAATCTCTAATGAAAAACTGGTGTAGCATTCAAATGTTAACTATTGTTATTCACCACCTCATCATACTGAAAGGAAAAATTAAAGAGTGGACATTTAGCACATCAGCTAAGTCACTGAAAAGATGGCATTCCATATCAGAGAGACTGGGTTCAAGCACTAGCTCTGCTTTCAATTCTAGTTTTATGCCAATGTGCATCATGGAAGGCAGCAGGTAGCAATGCGCATCATGGGAGGCAGCAGGTAGCAATGCACATCATGTTGAAGTACTTGGGCCCCTGTCACGTACATGGAAGATCATATTACGTTTCTGGCTTCTGGTTTCAGTTTGGCCTGGCCCTAACTGTCGTATGTACTTAGGGAGTGAATCAGCAGGTTGAAGAATTCTGTTTCTATGTATCTCTATTTCCTTCAAATAAAATATTTGTGAACATAAAAGGCATACATCTCTATGTATGTAAGACTTTAACATAATTCAATATCCACTCAAGACAAAATTCTCAAAAAGATAGAATCAGCATTAGAAGAGAGCCTCCTCAGTTTGGTGGTTTTTTAAAGATGCACTGGAAGTACTGTCCAGCACAAAAAGGCAAGGAGAAGAAATACAGAGCAAGCACACGTGCATATGACACAAGGACCTAGAAAACCTCAAGTGATGTACAAAAAAGATACCGTGACCAGTAAATTTACCAAGATCCTGATATTTCATTGAATGTGTGACAAATAAGTCAATATAAATTATATTTAGATATACTAACAATAAATACTTAGAAATTGTGTGAAAGGGAAATAATTTCTAATAATGGGAACACACTATCCCTAAAAACCCTGCAAAGCATTCAAGAGAAGCACCTGCTGAGACTCCTCTGAGCAGTATCTTGACAGAGTAATTAATCTCATCCACCAGTTCTGTTTGACTTTGGTGATGTGCAAAGAAGGCCTGCTTCGTTTTAACCATCTGGAGCAACCTCAAGCATTCCCGCGTTCTTTATCCATCTGGCTCTTACCTATGCCCAGAAATATGCTGCTTAAAATTAATTAGTAGCTTTATTTTCAGTAGTCTATTTCAGAGACAATACTCTTCCTCTGAAGACATTAGAAACTAATTATATCTTAAAGCAAATAATCTCCAACTTACTAGATTTATTATTGCTTACCTAAACCCAGTTTTCCAGTTGAAGTTACTGCATGTTCAATGTTTATTAATAAAAGTTTATGGTCGTGACTAAAATCTGACCATTAAAAGTAGCTGGGCTTGTGACTTTCAATTATAAATAACTCATGTTATTCCCTGAATACACCTCATATTAATCTCATTTCTCCTGACAGTAGTATCCCTGCCCTAACATTTAAAAATAAATAAATAAATAAATAAATAAATAAATAAATAAATAAATAAATAATTCGAGAAAAATCTCTAGAAAGTACACTGAAATTATAAAACACTGACAAGAGAAAATAATGAAGATAAAAATAAGTGACAATGTAAACCATGTTCATGGAGCAGAAATCTCAACATTGTTACGATGTCAGTTTTCCCAAAACTGATCCATAGATTCAACATAATCACAGCCCAAATTCCATTCAGTTTCGTAGTCAATCACAAATTGAATCTAAAACTTATATGGTAAAATAAAGGACCTACTCTAGCCGAACCAATTTTGAAAAAGAGAAACCAAGTGGGAGAGCTATCAAATTCCAAAGCTCGTTAAAAAGTTACCAAAAAAAAAGATACAATGGTATATAATAAAGTAATGGAGATTGTGTGTGAGTGCATGCATATCTATATTATTCTCTCTGTGTGTGTGTGTGTGTGTGTGTGTGTGTGTGTGTGTGTGTGTGTGTGTATAACTGACTTTCAACAAGAATGTTAGAAAATTTGTAGAGCATAGGTTCTTCACCAGCTAGGTCCCGGAAACACCGCACCATCCACAGGCATTACCATCAACACAAGCTGACTCAAGACAGATCCCAGCCCTAAGTAGAGAATCAAAAAGCATGAAGCTTCTAGAATAAATATAGACTTTTTTTTAAAGCCCTTGGATTAGACATAGTTTCTAGGTAGAGGGAAAAGAAAAGCACGGTCATAGGGAACTGACAGAAGCACATGTGCAGCACATTTTTAATTGAGGACACAACGGTAGGAGGCAAAGCTCTCCAGCCGCTCAGGACCTTGCCACATGGCTCCCCATTTTCCAGGTCTTTGGACTCTGCCGGTGACACAGTTCACTCTCTCTCAGTTCCCATCCGCACAAAATACAGCTGAGCCTGGGAGTACCTCTACATCCTTCCAGTCGATACAATATTTTTATTTCATAAATAACAGTAAAAAAGCTTCCTTGCTCTTCGGCAGACTCAGGGACATTAAAACATAAGAAAAGACAACATATCTGACAAATGACTTTTATCCTATACACAGCCTTACTTCTTAACAATAAAACAATACGATTTTTAAATGGTCAAGGTTGTAATAGAGGACTTAACCAAAGAATTCATAGGCACAAAATAATTAGTCAGCAAAATTGTGCAAGGAAACTACAATAAACTATTGTTATGCTCCTACTAAGAATGTCATTAGTTAATAAAACATTAATACATTTTAAAAATCACAACACAGCTGGGACTCCCCTAAATTGTTAGCAGGAATGTAAACTGATGCAGCCCGTTTGGAAAAGTTGGGCAGTTTCTTATTGAATGACACACACACTTACACACAACACAGCGATTCCATCCCCACATGCTGGTCCCAGAAAAAAAGAAAATAAGTATCCAAGCAAAAAATCTCTAGCAGCAGCATGTATGCCTTTAACTCTGAACCCTAAATAACTCCCACGTTCATCAACCAGTGAGTGGGTGCACGCCACGCCAAGAATGAAATATTACTCAGCAATAAAAAGGGCCAGGATCACTGAAACACCCACAGACGACCCTGTCAAGAGATGGGAAGCAGGCACAAAAAGTTAAAAATACTCTTTAAGATTTCATTTACATCCACCAAGAAGGCAGCGCATTCCCAATCTGCACATCCGCAGTGCCTGGCTCCTTAGAAGCACTTAGCAAATGCTAGAAAGTACTCAGTGAATTCCAGAAACTACTCACTAAGGGGCTGGCAGAAGGACAGGGAGGGGACAGCAGAGAAAGGCATGCTTTGAGGCAAAAGCAAGACGCCCCTGGGGGCCCAAATCCACCCTCTGGAGGAAACAGCGGCGGAAGGGTGCTCCAAGCTCCCGAGCTGGGGTTCTGCACACCTGCCTATGCCTACAAAGGCAGACAAATGAATGAGCCAGCCCGGCGCTGCTCGGGCCTGAGAAGGGCGTGGTGCGCCCCACCCTGCCTCAGGAGCGGCTCGCGCCCGAGGCCCGCCCAGGAGCCGGTTCCGTGCATCCCAGCGAAGCTGGCCGGAGCAGAGGCGAGTGCAGGTTCGGTGAGCACGGGGCACAAGGAGCCGGGCCATCCCGCTGCCCACCCGGCCGCACTCACCCAGGCCTGCCGTTCCAGCTGAGCGTACAAATTGGAGCCCTTGAGCTTCTGAACGATCTGCGCTATCATGAGAGACAGGTCCGACTCCTCCTGCAACATTTCCCCTGTCCTTGCCCGCCCGCCGCGGGGGCGCCGAGAGAACGGGCTGCCGGGCCCCGCCAGGAGCCAAGTGACACTTGTCCGGGACCTTACTATGCGGGCACTCCTCCGGCGGGCGTTACCAGGCAACTGCCGGGCGTGTGTCCCGCCTTCTGCGGTCCCCCTCGCCACCCGGAGGCCTCAGCACCTGCGTTCCGCCGGGACAAAGAAACCGGGACAGGGAGGAAGCTTGGCGGTCTATTGTTCCTGCCTAGTCAGTAGTTGAGGGGTGGGAACACAAACTCTTTGCTTCAAAGCTACAGCGCCTCTGTTGTACAAAGAAAAGCTAAAGTCACTGTTGTTTGTATTTTACGGTACACGCAATTGTGCCTTTTGGCACTTCCCAGTCTCTGCAGAAACATGGCTATGGGCACTACAGCCAATTACACCCAGGAATTGTCAGATTGACACTGACTGAGTGAACTTGGGCAACGTGCTTACACTTCAGCACTCAGTTCCCACTTGTGTAAAATAATACCCAGCTCACAGGATGATGTGATGACTATCTGAGGTAATAATCGCCAAGTTACCCAGACTGCACAGTGTTCTTGCTGTCATATCTTCCCTCGTTTCTGTTCTGTGGACTCTTATGCCAGAAATAACGAGACAGCTACAAATCGACCAGGCAACAATGTTGATGGGTTTTCTGGGATGCACTGATGAGTTAAGGATGAGCAGGACGTTGTCCTAGTCTTTGAGGAATAGACCCTCCAGACCCCCCATCTTCCATGCATTCATTCATTCATATTTCATTCAGTGCTCAACATTTTGAGTAATTACAATGTTTAATGAAACCCTTGCCTTCAAAGAAATAAATAAAAGATGATTAGGAGAGCTATAAAGTTGCTGATTTAACTAATTAAATGAATTCTCCAAAAGTTGGTGTCAATTGCAAGAGAGCCAAAAGGAATAATACATATGTTAGAATAACCTCACGAGTACCATCAAGAACTAATTTCCAATTTATGTATGTTTGAAGCAAAACAAAACTAGCACTCTGAGAAAACATTCTGAAATTATTCCAAACCAGATACCCATAGTGGTGGTGCTGCATGGTAATCCCCTTCCTGTGGCACCGACATTCCCTGTGCCCAGCAGTTTTCATCCTGGCTGCTCCACTTCCAAAAGGCTCCCTGCTAATGTGCCTGGAAAAGCAGCAGAGCATGACCTGGTTTCTTGGGTCCCTGCACATGCACAGGAGACTTGGGAGGTGCTCCAAGCCCCAGCTTCAGGCCAGTCCACCTCTGGCCATCGTGGCCACATGGGGAGTGAAGAAGCAATCAGAAAATCTCTCTTTTTTTTTTTCTCCTTCTCTCTAGGTAACCCTGCCTTTCAAATAAAGATAATTTTTTTTTCAAAAAGTTATTTCTCCCATAGAACACGTGTGTTAGAGTAAAATTAAATTCTAGAATGCCTTCTGCTCTGTTTCTCCATTTCTATAGCAAGACTTTTTTTTTTAAGATTTATTTTTATTATTTTTTATTGGAAAGGCGGATATACAGAGAGGAGAGACAGAGAGGAAGATCTTCCGTCCGATGATTCACTCCCTGAGTGAGCGCACGCCAGGAGCCTCTTCCGGGTCTCCCACGTGGGTACAGGGTCCCAAAGCTTTGGGCCATCCTCAACTGCTTTCCTGGGCCACAGGCAGGGAGCTGGAAGGGAAGTGGGGCTGCCAGGATAGAACCGGCGCCCATATGGGATCCGGGGAGTGCAAGGCAAGGACCTTAACCACTGCGCCACCGCGCAGGGCCCTCTATAGCAAGACTTTTCAGAACACCTGCTCCAGACTAGGAGTGCAAAGGAGCCCAACTCAGGTTGACTGAGGCAAGTGAGTTTTCCCTGCTCTCCAAGACTTCTGAGACCCAAAGCGACAATGAGAGTCTATGCATACAGCTGGGCTGGTAGGAAGACTCCTGTAGCCTCCCACCCAAGCATATGGAAATTTGATTACTTTAAAGTCATTATCCAACAATAAACAGAATAAATGTGAAGATTCTCATTACAGTCCCATGGAAGGGGAGGAGAATTTTACCTTGGAACTCTTCTGGTACCCAGAGTGGGTGGACATTGGGAAAGTGCTCCAACTCTGACATTTCAGAGCAAACCATAAGCTATTCTAATAGATACATAGCTGGGAGGGTCTCCTCTCATCTGGGTTGCTGTAGCTTTGTAGACAGCTCAAAGGAAAGCATGTGAAGGATGTCTCCGCAAGATTTTCTCGGGTTTAGAATAGACATAATTTTAGGCCAGAATGCATGCGTGGGTGCTGTGGGTCCAACATTGCCTTCCTCAGACCTGTTTTGCTTTGATCTATTTCACATAGAATGCTGGACTTCACCTAGAAGTAGGAAGAAACCTGGTGACCAGTAGCATCTATAACAGGAATGCGACCCACCGCAGAAACACTGTCCTGGCCCAGCAGGAAACAGAGGCACACTCCAGGGGGGCCTAGAACACAGTTCTGCCTTATTCACATGAGTATGCTCTCATAAACCCCACCACTTACAAAGCAAGCTGCTTTCTGAGGCTGTCAGAGATGCCAACATTTGGCATACTGTGTCTGCAGAGCAAGTTGAGATATATGTAGACAGGAATTTATACAGGCTAAACAAAATGAGTATTTGCATTTATGTGTGTGTCACAAATGCCACAGGCTTCACTATCTTTGATTAAAAAAAAAAAAAACCAAGCTCATGCTGGTGTGGAGTGGATGACCGATTACCAGACAGCTGCACCTCACCAACTAGCATGAGTCCTCAGCCCTTTTCAAAGTCTTTCTCTACCCCCAGAGATCCTCAGGATCAGGGGGAAAAAAACTATCCATGATCTTCTGCTTGACTTGATGCGATGATGGCTGAAGTCCTAAAACTTCTCTTGAGGGTGTTGCTTGTCAGTACTACCAAAACAGCAAAACCCAAAAGGTGCCAAACCTCCAGATCCACAAAGTTTCTGATTTTGCTACTTCACATAGTTGGGATATTATCTCCTTTGTAAACTGTGTGGAGTATCAGATCAAGCTAGTTCGTTTCTCTTTCCTGCACATGAGTGAGGAGGACTGGATACCGGATCCATTAATAATCCCAGGGACTGTGTAGTCTCCATGTGCAACAGAAAGCTTACAGGGGGAAACCTCACTGATGTGGGTTGGGTGTGTTTTTCAGGGGCAGATGTTTTGGGGTGTGGGTCCTTAATGTGAAGACATTTGGAGATGGCTCAGTGGGAAGTCCTGAAGTCACTGGGGACCCAGCCCTTGAAAGGCATTGAGGTGGCTCTCATGGGACCCAAGGGTATTTGATTCTAAGAGCAGGTCCAACACCTGAATTGCTCTCTGGCTTCCTGTCTGAGAATGTGTTGTCTTCCTCTTACACACATTCTCACACCTACCATCTGCCATGAGATCATCCCCACACTGAACGATATCAGAGCTATGACCTTGATCTGTGAGCTAACTGAATCTCTTTCCTTTGCAAAGTTAGCCTGCCTCGGGCATTTAATTCTAGTAATGGAAAACAGAGCACCATTACACCAGCAAATGATGTTCTGACTCACAGGATATTTATAATCACAATATGTCTCAATAACATCATCAAGATTCCATGCTCCTTCCTTAAGTTTTATTCTATCATCCTCAGCATATTGACTCCCTCTGCAGCACATTGCCACAGTCTCAACATGGCTGCTTTATGGCAAACATGATGACTTGTTGCTGCCATAAAAGGCAGGAAGGAAGGGGGCAAAACCAAAGCATTCTCAATGATTTTTGCATCTCTCTTTTCTGAGGAGTAGCTTTGCAGGAAGATCTCAAGAAAACATCAAGTACCCTAGTGCCTGAAGCTGTGTCACATGACCACCCTCGCTAAAGGAAATCTGTATAGAACCTGTTGGGAGAAAGACAAAGGAGAAGAATGGCCACTTGGTTGGTACTGCTGTGATAGGGACAATTGTAAATAAGCATCTCTGATGGATGTTTGGTCCAATCAAACCACAAATAAATTAAATGACTTGGGCAATATCCAGGTGACTTACCATTCACACAGAGCTGATTCTGTGCAGCTCAGGCTCAGAATCTAAATTATATTACTTAGCTATGTGGCATTTTCTCAATATCATAGTGACATTTTAAAAGCTAAAAACAAATAATGTTGGCCCTCTGCAAAATAAGTTTTGTGAGTACAAGATTATATGACAAGCACAGAACATTTGCAGATGTTATTGTAAAAAAAGAAAAGAAAAGAAGTACAAGAATTGGTGACTCCAGGAAAGAGCAGCTTGTTTATGAATTACTTTCCACTAAGGATTTTCTATACCTATAGGCTATTGGGATTCTAGATGATTCTCTCTAGTTGTACCCAGAGAAATGAACACTGGAAGCAGTTTGGTCTCTAGTATAATGTGTACTGATTTCAGGCTTACTGGTAGTAAGTGAAATTCTATCTTCTAGACACTTCCTCTGGGTTTGAAGTAAGATAGGAGAGCAGAATCCTTTTGCCTCAAGGTCTCTTCAATTCTCTGATCATGAGGCATGGGAACTCCAAAAAGTTCATACAAAGGGATTTAAATAAGCTTGTCTTGGTTGAAGCATGTGCATATGAGCAGTCTATGGAAAGCTCAGGAATATGTGCATTCGTTCAAAACTGCATCAGGGCCCAGCATGGTGGCCCAGCAGCTAAAATCCTTGCCTTGAATGAACTGGGATCTCATATGGGTGTTGATTCTAACCCCGGCTACCCTGCTTCCCATCCAGCTCCCTACTTGTGGTTTGCGAAAGCAGCTGAGGACAGCCCAAAGCCTTGGGACCCTGCACTCATGTAGGAGACACGAAGGAGCTCCTGGCTCCTGGCTTCAGACTGGCTCAGCTCCAGCCATTGTGGTCACTTGGGGAGTGAATCATCGGACGGAGGATCTTCCTCTCTGTCTCTCCTCCTCTCTCCATGTATCTGACTTTGCAATAAAAATAAATAAATCTTATTTTAAAACTGTGCATCAATAAGGTTTGCATCAAACTAAATCTATTTCGTCACTGTATTTCATGAATGTCAAAATTACGT